AATAAAAACAATAAAAATCAAAAAGAGAACCCTCCCATAACATGTCATTGTAGAAGGAAATTTAAAACGTGTGCCATTCAAAGAATGCAAGTGTTTCTCACTTTTGTCGGATGAATCAATATTATGATGAACAGTGTGAATACTATAGACGGAACATTTGAACAACGAGGAAAATTGAAGAAAAATGGAAAGAAAAAGGCGACTTATACAGAGAATCAGAAAGAGTGCGTTGACATTTCTAGAGCAAATAACGAGGAAACAACGCTTGGAAAATCTGAAACTCACAAGTCAAGAGAGAGAGAGAGAGACAACTAACCAAAGAAGCTTGCGTAAATAGATGGTCGAAAAAGGGTGTGAGTGGGATATTAAAAAGACAAACATTGCTAAGAGTTACAAAGGATAGAGATCCATGATCAACCTAACAAGCTTTTGTGAATGGCCGAACAGGGAGTTGGAGGGATAGAAAAAGATAAAAATTGCTAAGAGGTACAAAGGATAGGAACTTGTGGAGGGCCACGACCGATCACTTTCTGAAGGCGCACGACACACGGCACATGAAAGATCTGAAAATACTCACGCATTGAACAATTTGCTTAGTGGGTGAGATAGTTGGATATTTCTTATTAGCTCTCGCGGCTGACATTTGATCTCAATTAAAAGCCAGAATTTCTAATGCCGATTTTCAAGGCAGCATCTTCCCACATGGAAGATTGGAATAATACAAACTTCTGACACACTTCTTATAGTTAGACGATGTGTCAAACGAAGGTGAGGTCCATAAATATTTATTTGTTTATGTTACTCTCCATTGACAGCCCAAATCTTGTTTTCTTCCAGTAAAATGATTAGGGCGCTTCTGATTGGTTGGCATCACACACGCACGCGCACACACACACACACGCACACGCACACACACACACATACATATAATGTGTGTGTTTGAGTGTTGTGTGTCAGTGCGCATTTTCTATTTGTCTTATTACGTATAAAAAATGCTAAAAAGGTAACTGCGATACTTACTTTATTCCTTATTTACTGTCCAAAATTGGCACAAGATTATTAGTGTATGTATATATGAGCGTGTGTTAAAAAGACGCTTTTCTAGAGCCCAAATCTATTTTGTCAGACTTTTTGATGCAAGTTAGACTGGGACTTTTCCAGCACATCCCTCTCTATCTCTCACAACGCGCGCGCGCGGGCACACGCACACACACACACACACACACATACATATATAAAATAGATAATGTAAATTATTATAAATGCATTTCTGAAAAAACAGGTAAATATTTAAACGTATATATATATATATATATATATATATATATATATGCGTGTTGGAACACGACTGCAGTTTTGTAGCGATCCTTATATGTTTTTGTTGTAATATCCTAATACATACATACATATATACATACATACATATATATATATATATATATATATATATATATATATATTATTGGGCACCAGATCATTATTCAAACATATATTGTCAAATATAACAGACAACGAATGTCTATTATGTTTGATCATGAACCGTTCTAATCTTAGAACAGCTAATGATCAAACATAGACATTCGTTGTCTGTTATATTTGATAATATTTTATATATATATATATATATATATATATATATATATATAATATATATATTATATATATATATATATATATATATATATATATATATATATATGATATCGTACATTGAGTGCTGGTGTTAATAAAAGTGGTCAATGTAATATAACAGAGCTATTAAGTGTATATTAATGCATATACATTTTTACTCAACGGTAGCACTACCCTGTGTTTCATGCACAGGGCAATCTCCAGGTGATGAATCGAGACTAACGGTTTCCTAGTTTAAATTTGAATAAATATATCTGGTTAAAGCAATGTTGGCGCGTGTTGTGCTATCGTTAATGAAAATATGTATATTTATTAATATATATATATACTACGTCCATCAGAGGGTGAAATGCATCGGCTAAGACAAGTTTGCCTTTTGTCTTTTGATCATATTGTCCTTTTACAGATATATATATTAGTTATATCTGAAATTTTAACACGCACACCCACATACACGTACACACATATATACGAATACAAATACACACACACACACACACACATATATATATATATTATTATTATTCTAAACGTTATTTCTTGTAGGTATACGTGTTTGGCTTGCTATCTCTGTTTTTTTCCTTAAATTCTGAAACTAATTCAGGCTGGCCTAGATCCGGAAGTCATACTAAAGAAAAGTTTGCCTCCCTTGTCAGGAATTGAACCTGTATCCCTTTTCCCCACCAGAGAAACAAAGTACTTGTTAACCTTGTATTTAATCAAATTTCAACAAATCTTTCATCTTCTTTACTTTGCAAATAAAAACTGTAATAAAAGCAGCAAATCGGAACTGTAGTCAGAATTTTTTAATAAAAAGTCAGAGGCCAGTGACAATAAAATCTAAAACATCTTTCAAAAGACAAAAAAGAAAAAAGAAAAAAAAGAAAGAGAAATTCAGGGGAAAACGAAGAAAAAATGTTTTGACGTTAGTGAGTCTATTAAGATGCAGAACCGATAAAAATGGGTAAATCTTTTTTAAACAAAAAAAAAAAAAATTAAAAAAAAGGAACGGATCGCCGATGTGTTTCTTATTTTTTCGAGGATAAAAATGTTTTGTTTATTTTTGAGAATTTTTACTCACTTTTCCTATATGAGGATGTGAAAAGAATTTCAATCATTGGCAGATGATATTAGAAGCTAAAGGTTCAATCTAAATTTTAACTTGCCTTGAAGATACCTAATATAGTGTTCACACTTTTTAATGTTTAAGACAGACGATAGGCACCAGGCAGGCATCAGGGCTGGTGGTAACTATCTATCTTAAAGAGAAGGTGTATTAAATAATGTCAGAGAATATTAACCCTATGAAGGCAAATTGGGGACAATGGTAATAGGAAAGAATAAATTTAAATTTAAAAATGGATTTAAAAATAAATTTAAAAAAAAGATATGAGGTAACGAGGGTGTAAGGAATTAACGGAATCAGAATTACGGGAAAATTCTAAGTAGAGGAAAGTTTATAAGTAGTAATTTTTATAGCATAAAAAAGGTTTTAGTGGCGGTGGGAATAGGGAAGGGACGTAAGGTAGCTAAATCAAGCAAAATTACACTATGGAAATTTGAATTTGTTTCTATGTCAATATTTTGAGATTTAGAAGGTATGAGGGTCGGGGGTGATATAGAGTAGTTAAGGCGTAATTATATTATGGACGTTTGAATTTGTTTTTATGTCGACATTTAAACACTAATTCGTTCCTCTTATTCAATAGTTGACTTTCATTATTGTATATCATTCTAATTTTTTTTCTAAGCATAAGTTACATATGCCTCTGAAGCTTTTGGGAGTTTGTGCAGAACTTAAAATTTTCCAAACTCTTATATATATATATATATATATATATATATATATATATATATATATATATATATATATAGTTTTATATACCACCACACCAGAAATGAAAATACACTTTTCTTTGAAGATGTAAACTTTACAGACCTCAGAGAGAAATGAGAAAATTTGAATTGTTATTTACTTAACATTTTGCCTTTCATTGCATTGACAGTTGAACCAGAAAATAAAAGATTATTTTGATGGGGTAATTAATAGTGAGAAAGTCTGATATAAAATTGCTAACGTGTAGTGGCTTCCAGTTTCACTAAGAACTCCACAAGTGCCGCCTTGTGTCAGGCTAAGATAAGCCAGAAATTATGAGAACTTTTCAGAATAGATCTATTTTAAATAATCTATCTATCTATCTATCTATCTATCTATCTATCTATCTATCTATATATATATATATATATATATATATATATATATAATAATTCAAAGGTTTCCAGGCATTGAAAAAACCCACCGAGGGCACTTCCACTGATTATAGGTCGAGGTTCGTAAAAAATTGGAACTCACCTCATGAAATTCTCTCCAATATTTGTAAAATCGACATTATCACTTATATTGCTAACAAGAGCAGTGCACAATTCCTCGTAAAAAAATCTTTATTTGTTCAGGTTCTAATGTGGCAGCTTTCAGTTGGCTCTAAGTTTCAGATCTAGTGTCGGTCATTGGCAAAAGATCCCCACAACGGACAATACGAAAACATTTATGCATATAAAAAGCACTGAGATACAGATATGATGAAATTTTTAGTACCTTCCACACGATTAAAATACTTAGGCTGCCTTTATAATAGATGAGCTATATTATGGAAATCCTTACCTAAGATTTGTCTTGGTAGAGTTCCCAAAGAGGATAAACATTTCAAAATGATACTAGTCAGCACACGGGTTAAAAAAATGTAATGTGTTGAAACTAAATTTGAGAAGAGCTGTTAAATTTTTTAAAGATTATATTAGAATATTTTATCTTATTTTTCTTTGGCTGTTTTTTTTTTCCAGAGGTTGTTGTTTGATTAAAAAACAAAACAAAATAAAAACAATAACAATAACAAAAAATAATTTTTTTTCAATATTCGTTGTCCGAAATAAAATTTGGAGAAAATATCTGAAAAAGAAGAAAAAAAAAAAAAGGGAATATCATTTGTAGCTCAGGTTAAAGTTCGCCCATCAATCCCAAAATGCATTAGCAATATACGTACACAAAAGCGTGTATCTGTATAATGTGAAATACGTCTGAAAAAAATGTGTGTATATTTGTGTGTAGATGTCATTGGGTATAACCTCATTTCATCTTTTTTTCTTTTTTCTTTCTTTTTTTTTGTTGATTCTACGTTCTTTTTTTTTTCTTTTTCTTTTCTTTTTCTTTTTCCTTTTTTTCCTTCCGGGAAATAAGTTTTCATGTCTTTTTCTCTCTCTTTTATTCTTGATCCACCATCATTATTATTATAACTCCATAGCGTTATTTTCCTTCTGGCTGGTTCGTTTCCTTTCTTCTATACATTTCATTCTTTCCATCCTTTTCCCGATTATAATATCTCAGTGCAATTAACCCTAAGTGAATGGTCATATATGGGGACGAGATGACCGGTCGGTGGACATTGATGGAAACCAGTGTTCCATACGTTGCTAACCATTTGCAAGGAATGTTGTAATCTGTTGTAATAGGACCACTGGGGGACACGGGACTTCCGAGAAGCTAAAAATGCCGACCATTTACTTCTAACATAGCTTTGGAAGTACAGCGGTATCAGGCGGTGATGTCTGCGAGCTTCCATTTTGCGTGCGCCGAAACCCCGAGCCTCGCAGAACGCGTAGTTGTAGAGAATGGTTCCCATCGTCATGTAACGGTCCAGGTAGTACTTAAAGGTAAAATGAATGCTGTAAATGGTCGTATTGGTTAGATCTAAACACGTGTCTGACCAGTTAAAACGCATCTCGTACGGTTCAACGATGTAGCATTCAGAGCGGAATCCACGTTTGAAGGCGACGATAGCCGGTCGGTCATTAGTGGCTTCTGTGTAAGAATAGTCAAAAGTAACAACCTTTGAGCTCATTATTTCGTAGATACTTGTCATTCTTACCCATTCCGAATGGGGTTGGGTGGCCATTTTGCTGTGGTGATGGATAGGAGGAGGGCTGAAATAAACGCTAACATTGTTAAAGTAACGATTAACATCCCAACCTCCATCCATAATTTGTTTTGGGACATTCATCTGGAGCTCTTTCTGGTTTATATGGTATTTGGTGTATTTAAAGACGTGGGACGCCTCGGCTAAAGCAACGGCAAAGCCTATAACCATCATGCTCGAGATGAAACGACTACGCCAGGCACATCTTTCGTTGATATCCGTCTGGGTGTATTTCAAGAACTTCTTTCCACAACATGCACAGTGACGCGATAGGCCCACAAGCATCTTGTAGACGACAACAATAATTCCGGTTATGGCCCTTGTGTATTGAGCTTTCGTGATCGGCCTCTCTCGACAATAGACGAGATTAACGTTGATGCCCAGCTGAGGAATGTCTTCCAACCAAAGTGAAATGGCTAAGGCGATGTCTGGGTTAATATAATACCATTTGCAGGAGAACGAGAGGAGATTGAGTGTCTCCAGGATTGAAAGGATCGTCCCCAAGATGGAAAAAATATATAGTGCTAAGATAATGCTTGGACTAAAGCTTCCAAAGACAAGGCCGGATTTGTAGTCCCTGATCTCTTGGTAGATCCACCAATTGGCTCCTATGTCGATACAATCAACGGCGAGAGAAATGAAGAAAAAGAGGAATTTCCGAGTAGAGCAATAATCACTTTTAAACATAGAACGAGGCCTCCGTATTGGTGAATGGCTAGGAGAATAGCCCATAGATACAGGAAAAGTGCCTCCAATTACGTTAACCCCAGGCTGAGGCATGCCCGTAGGCAAACCTATGTGTGCACCACTGGAAGGTCGCATGTGGACCGGGCTTACGGTGGATCTCATCGGGTTCATCGGACCCCTCATATTGATGCCTTTAAGAAGCAGAACGGTTAAAATTAATTTAAACTCCTGTTCTTTGATGATCTGGCGGAAGTTCCTTTGCTAGCGTCGGTTTCTTTCGGCTACTTGTGACAAAGTCCAGGAAATCAGTTTATATATACATATATAATTTGAAAATCCTTAGTTGGACAGTGGGCAAACCTTTTCAGTTCGCCGTTTGTACTCTGTTTGCTCCACTTGTAACAGACATCTCCAGCGAGAGCATTGCTGCTCAGAAACCTTCAATCGGGAACACGGATACAGCGAGGAAAAACCGGTGGCGACGCCTATCTGTCAAAAGAGAAAACAAAAGATTTTAACAGGGTTTATAAATAATCCACTGTAGTCTCTGTTAAAAAGCTAATCCTCTTAATATAGATTACCCCAGCTGTAGTGATCGCTTATATCCGTGCTAAATCATAAAGCTAAGAGTCTGACATGTTCAATAATTCAACCCACCTTTTTACTTATATTCCCTATATTGATTTTAATCGATTTCTGAAAATAACTTTGCATATAAAAATCCTACATAGTTGCTTCAATTTTTCTTAGTGTTCGGTGTTTTTTCAAATCTTGTTCATTAAAAAAATGTTGCTGGTATAAAACCAAATAAATTGACAAAAGCTCTCTGAATGCCCATGGTCGCCATATTTATGACTGCAATATAGTTTCAGAACAAGTGTTTCGTACCAGATTTAAATAGGTCGATTTCACTTGAATACCGGTTATCCTTCATTACATTTGGCTTACACTGAAAGACACGGAACCACGTCGAGAAAGTATTACGTTTTCAGCTGAAGCTTAAATGAATTAGCTCAGATAATAATTATTATATCATTATATTTAATTTTATATTAATATTACATTATTATGATAGTAAATATATACATATATATTTTTTTTATAATGGTTGTTACATTATTTAGAGCCGTGGAAGATATTTGAAATGAATCCTAATAAAATTCGTAATAGTCATATTTTTAATAATTTCTCCTCAAGCAAGGCGATAAAGCCACAAAGATACAAGGAGTTACAGCGCGTGAAGCATACTGAGAAATATTATTGAGGAGAAAGAATAATAAAAAAGGATTCGAGGAGACGGAAGAAAGCGACTGAGATTGCATTTAAATTTTTGAAGATCGTAGTTGAGTGGGAAGCAAAAAGTGTTCCATAAACGAGAAGTACAAGAGAAGAAACAATTAGAATAGAACTTACGCTTACACTTAGTAAGTTCAGCAACAAAATGATGGGACCTAACTGCCAATCTAGCAGTGCGATTATATTCATGAAGTCGAAGTACCAAAGAGGAAAGTTCACCGGAACAATTGCCATAAAAATATTAATAGAAAAGGCACCGGGAAGCTACGTTACTGCGGTGGGAAAGTGAATGAAGCCGAGAACCCAGGAAAGGACCGACACCTACAGAATATCAACAATAGCAACAACAATTTTTGGAAACCAGCCTCAAAACTGAACTAAACTCACTGTATATACTCATTTCATTTCGGGTCCCGACCAGAGACCTAAGGTGAAAAATGGCATCATGTAATTTTCCACTGAGCAGTTTTGAAAAAAAAAATCACACATATTTTACATAGATAAAGCCTTTCGTAAGGTGTGGGTTTACTTGTACATTTTTTTGTATTTTTTAAAGCATTGTCCTACCAGGAATCCCTTCAATAAATCTATTAGAATCTTTCCTAATCAACTAATCAGGCTCCAACTACAATTGAAATTATTGATGTCCTCATGTGCTACCTTTTTGAGATTTCGATTTCAAGGTCCTTCTATTTTGATTATTTTTGAAGATCTTTAATCTTTAAATCTTATCTTATTTAATCTTATTAACATTGCAGTCCCTGCAGACTGCAATGTCAATAAGAAGGCACATTTTGTTTTTATGATATCTGGGCGATTAGAAAGGCGTAAGATAAATTCTTATAGTTAGTGTAAGAAAAAGAGAAATATTAAAATAAATCTCTCATGACAGACTCTAGACAGACAACTGTCGATTGCAATCGTTTGTATATTCACAAGTAGACATAACATGCATTGATAGATTGATTCGTTTCTTACGGTTTATCAACTCTTTGCAGGTTATTTAAAGCCAGAAAATATTTTTAGATTATAGAGAATTTTTTTTGAGATATTAATTGTTTAGTGATACAACTTTCACTAATTACCTCATAGAAGGGGAGAGAAGTAGATTTATACCTAATCAGAATTTGATCAAGAAACAAGAAATTATAATAAGGGATATTAAATGGGGGATAAATTCTATATTTCAATCAACATATAAACTGATCCCTCACTTCATGGCCACGGTAGTTTCTATACATTTAGATTCCAGAAAATGTAAATAAATCTAAAAGACATGCCTGTGTAGCTAATCAATATTTCATTGATTGATTCGTTTTATTTGGCTTATAAAACATTTGTTATTAAAATCAGAAAATATTTTTGGATAGTAAGAATTTTTTTATTTTTTGGTGATAATATTGTTTTACCGATATACGTTTTACCATTCAACCCATAGCTGGGGGAGAATAAGTGCATTCATATCTTTCCCAACGATATTTGCGCGAAAGTGAATATAATAAACCCAACGAGAATTGGAACTCGGCTCTTCGATTATTTTTTTTTATCATTCACCCCAAGCAAGGCAGCTATGCCACCAAGACACAAAGAACTACTGGGTGTGAAACAGAATGAAAAGATTTTAGAAAGAACCGGAAACAAATTATAAGCCTCTATTCTTGTTCAAAAGATTGGAGAGGTGTTTGAACTGGGCGGCCAGAGCCATTATACATTAAACCACGCACACACACATTCAAGTTTACAACACCTGGTATTCCCAAGTGGTCACCTATCTAGGTACTGACAAGGTTCGACGTTGCTTAACTTCAGTGATCGCACGGGAACCGGTATTTCAACGTGATGTGCCCGTAACCCACATAAATCTAGAACGGATGAAGAGGAAAATGTCCGCTTGAAAGGTTACAGATCGCCAGGTAAAGGCTTGAAGCTATAAATCGTTGGGTAAACGTGGGTAATCATAGGTAAAGTTGGGAAGGTCAAAAATCGATAAATGTGAAAAGGTCAGATATTTAAACTTAAATGTGAAAAGGTCAGAGATCACTCGGTAACGGTAAAACCCAATTCTTTCAAAATATATGCACAAATTTATACACACATGATTTTTTGTTTGTAGATAAAACCTTACTCATTTCGTTGCTTGATGTCTTGTTTATACTCGTCAATAACATACGAACTCTTAATTTTTGACCAAAAGTAATTTTTAAAAAATGTTCTGTGTATAAGTCGACCCCACTTTTTCACTTTACATCCCAACAAATGAGGCATCAACATTTATTTAGTCTAAAACACATTTCACCTAACTTCCATCTAAATCCAATAAACCCGTGGGTATGCTTGTAGCGTAGCGGTTATTAGCGCAGAAATTAAGATTGGCAAGCTGAGTTCGAATTTCGACCAAATGCCAGCTAGAGAAGACGTTTTTTTCTAAATTTGGTTGACAACTTATCTCATTGTTGCCAGTCAATGTGTTAAAATTTTTATTTGACTTGATTATCCTGTGTACTGTTTAATGAACTGATCTTGAAAGCGATCGAATGTGAAATCGACCGTCGTCATGCACTCAACAATTTTTTAAACTTTCATATTTGATAAATACAGATTTGCAATAATGGAGCGTTTATGAAATAAGAAACTCTCAAATTTCCCTCTTTTTCTCATTATATGCGCCAGGGAGATTTCAGTTGTTTCTGATGTTAAAGAACAAACAAAAGCAAACTGGATCATTGAAAACTGTTCATTTAGTTTTATGATTGTTGTAATTTTTGTTAATCCTCTTCGCCAAAATGTTGTAATCGAGGGAAGGTTACTGAATAGAATATTGACACGAAGGTTGGTAATAAACGATAATACTTAGGACAAGAATAAAACATATAAGATTCGCCAGCCGCGTGTAGAAGAAGTAGTCAACTGCTAGAAGTGAGTCAAGTGAATTCCACAATGAATTTCCAACTGCAGGATATCTACCAACCGCCGCACGCGGTCAGATGTGGCACAAGGCCGAATTTAATGTGGGGTATCTGATCCCGCAGGCTCGGCCAAAAATTTCCCGTAGACCCCGTATAAAACGGGGTCGCGTAGCTGTTTCCGGAGACAAGACTCTGCCCTTCGACATAGCCTCATCTGGGGATCCTCTCTGTCCAGAGACAGAGAGTTTGACCAGCACAACTGGAGACAAATCTGCAACTGAAGGATATTTGCCAACTGCCCCACGCGGTCAGATGTGACACAAGGCCGAATTTAACGTGGGGTATCCGAGCCCGTAGGCTCGGGTAAAAATTCCCCGTAGACACCGTAAAAACGGGTTCGGGTCTATCACCCCAGACGAGACTCTGCCCGAAGGCATAGCTTCGTCTGAGTTCCTCTCTGCCCGAAGGCAGAGAGTTCGACCAGCCAAGCTGGAGACGAATCTGCAACTGAAGACCAACATACAGTATTTACTACTTTATTTATGTGAATGGGGAAATACCCATTATCGCCCGTAGGTATGCAACAACAATAGTCAAGGTTAGTTTTATGGTTCGGGTTAGAGTTGGAAGTGTCAACAAAAAATTAAACGATTTTTGTTCATAATTATAAAATTAAAAAGAGTATACGCTAATAGAAACTAATAAAAATTCAGTGACATTTTTTTTCTTGGTTTTCCTATATATGATTTATATCCGAAAAAATGTTATTGTGTCTGAGAAATTATTTGAATGTTAATGACGTTTCTGAAAGTTCGAAAAATGCACTTTTCAGCTGTTTTGAAACTGGTTTTAGTCTTCATATTTTTTCAATTCGTAATTTTGCTCTCTACTTTTTGTAAAGAAACCCCCCACCAACCCTAAACCCCTGAAAGTAATTTCTTGAGACCCCTCGGGTTTCGATGCGTCCACATGTATAAATTAAAAGATTGAAATGTAACGTGGCTAGATAATGAAACTCTTCTCATTTATTTTTCTACAAAGTTCTTTATAAAAGAATTCTTATCCTCTTTGATAGTTTGCATTTGAAAGCTTTTTTTTTCTTTTTGTTCAACAAAAGTAAGAATAAAATCAACGTTAATTTTATTTGGCGCGTATCGGGAAAGAATTGTACGTATCGTGATATTGCAAAAAGTAAAAAAAAAAAAAAAATTAAAAAAATTAAATTTGCGTAGGTGGATATTAAAAAATATTTGGTTCAAGGGTATTTCTTAATTCTTTTTAAATTTAAATATACAATTCTTGGATATATGTAAGCAAAAAAAAAAAAAAAAAGTCCAAAGATAAAAGCCAGCAGCTTTTACAATCTTAACGTATTTACGAAAATATTCGCAAACTCAGAAAATGGTGAATAATTCTTTGTTTGTTGATAAATATCGATAAAATAATTGATTAATTGATTATAAAAAGGAAGAAAAAACCTTATCGATTTTTCCAAAGTAATCTCTCAGTATAAATTACGTGAAAATTTAGTCAAATTCTGCTTTGCCCGTAAATGCAACCAGACACAGAGTAAAGATAAAAACGACCGACAAAAAGATGTTAAAAGAAACCTCTATCCCAACAAAACTTTTTATTTTTTTTTTTTTAGTTAGCATTGTAAACATGTCAGGAAAAGTTTGACACTGTAAGGATTTGATCCAATATGTCCGTTTGAGTCATGCAAAGATAAACAGACTAAAAAGAGTCGAAGACAGACAAGAGATTCTGGGGCCGCAGTTGAAGTGAGACGACAGCGAGAAAATGAAGATTTATAACCCAATTTCTATCAATTCATAAAAAACAAACACCAGCAGCATTCTGTCATGACAGTCCCGGTTTAAGAGTCATTTTCCATTCTCTCGTTAGCCAAATGAACATTTCAAGTAGCCTTGAAACTTTTAAGCATATTATGCAAAATAAAAGGCGAAATTTTAAGCGCATTAAAATAAAAGTAACGGTTCCAAAGTCTTTTTTCAAGTCTTTTTTCAGTGACGACCATTTTGAATATTTAATGAGCTAAGGTGGAATAATTTGCATAATTTGGATGCGTTTCCTTGAAAGGCTGATTATAAACGCAGAAAAAAGTAAGAATTTATTGGGGTTATTACATTTAATTACAAATAAATGAAAAAGCTAAACTTGTTCTCAGGAAATCAGTAACTGTTGAAAAAGTTATGTATCAATCACGTTTTCTCTGGCTGGAGTCTTTCATATTGGAATATCTTTCAGAAAATGTTCATTTTGTTAGAATTTTTCGACCCTTTTGATGTGATAACAAAAATAAATATATTAGCACAAATAAATAAATTGGGTCTTCAGGAATTCAGTGGTTTGGATTATGGAATAAATAAATACTTGTGATTGTTTAAGTTTATAACCAGACTCACGTAAGTTTAGAAAATGTTTAAAGATTTTTTTGAAATTTAACCAGAAGTCTTCCGGGTAAAGACTTCTTTAAAAGAGGCTTCAATTGTCGCTGCAAAGGTAATTTTTATTTTTTTTTATCGAATTTACCCCAAGCAAGGCAGTAAAGCCACAAAGACAATGAGTTACTGGGTGTGGAAGAATTAGAAAACAGAAACATTAACAAGGAATGAGAAAAACAGAAGAGTAATCAGGAAGATAGTAGATACTAATGTAGGTGTCCCCAGGGCTCTATCTTTGGTCCTGCTTTATTATTAATTTTTATTAACAACCTTCTCAATTTGACATCTATGCTGACGACACAACCATTTACTCCTGTTCTGATAGGGAGGCTGATCAGTCCGAAAAGTTCAAAAATGGCACCCGATGCCCAAAGCGACGTCAAGTCCGTTGTTATCTGATGGCTTGTTAATTTTAACGCCTCCAAAACTAAACGTCTCTTCATTAATCATCTGGGAGACTCATCTCTGCCTTACATCAGCATGGCTGATGCTAACCTCCAGAAAAGTGGCTCGTTGCATCTTCTCGGGCTAACATTCTCAGCTGACATAAAGTGGAAAGACTATATTGAATCCATTGCAAGATCAGCTGCTAACAAAGTTGGGTCACTGTGTCGTGCGAGATATTTTTCTTTCCAGAATACATATCTATATGTCTACCATTCGTCCATGATTAGATATGGTGCGGTGCCCCTGCTATTTACCTTGATAAGATCCAAAGAAGAATCAGCAATATTATCGGTCCACGTCTGGCGGCTCGGCTTCCCATCGTCGTAAGGTTGCTTCTCTGTGTCTTTTCTATAAATACTTTCACGGTAATTGCTCGGATGAGATCTTCGCTATAGTACCTAGACTTTTTGAATTTAAGCGCAGTACTAGACTGGCGTTTAGATCTCATCAATTTACAGTTTAGCTAGTTAGATGTAGCCGGAACTTCTATGCTATTTCTTTTCTCGCACTTCTCGCTTGTAGAACTCCCTTCCGGCTCCATGCTTTACAGCCAACTTTAATCTGCAAAAGTTTAAATGCAATGTCAATTGCTATCTACTGTCCATCTGATTACTCTTTTCCCTGCTTATTATTAATATTTCTGTTCCTAATTATTCTGCACTCAGTAACCCCTTGTGTCTTAGTGGCTTTACTGCCTTTCATGGGGAGATACCGATTAAAAAAAATAATATAAGCTACTTGACGTTCTGTAAACACCGATCTTCCATTTATGCATTTTGTTAACTGTATTGTGATGTATACATCACTTTACCTTGATGAATACCATTTGCATCATGTACTGCAGAAACCATTTTGTTGGATCTCATACTTGGCTGGAAAGCCTCCGTGTTCTCCTCTTGCATCAATAAGTTTTGTCTGCCCAATGTTTTGACGGCCTTTGCTGGTTTTTCCTTTCTCGAGTTACTGCCGATAGGTTTTGACCACAAGTGAATATTAGAATGTATTCATTTTTGTAAAGGCTTTGACTTCAT